TTTTTAAATTTAAAATTTCTCTCCTAATCCTTTCGCATAAATCTCAGCATGTTTGAATGGAGCTTGCCCAGTTCCAAATCAAAGATGTATCAATACTACCACCGGAGAGACTTGCTGCGAACTTAGTCAGGTAACATAAAGCATTCTTCAAAAACAATTAAGAAACCAATTCATTTTTCTGACAAAAGTAAATGGGCCTTAGAAAAACTGGGGGGATAGATGATTGCTTTTGATCTTAGAACCTGCAAAATATTGGGTTTTCGGATAAATTCGTCCTATTTCTTACAACTCAATCCACTAATCCGAATTTTTTGGACTTAGAAGTGACTGAGACCGAAAGATCCCACAAGTTTAGCTTTCTCGAAATGCAAGAAACTTGGAAGTTACTAGGATACCTTGTGGCGTAATAGAAGACACTTATAACAAAAATCCATTCCCCCTGTTAAAGCTTCATTGTGTGATAACGGCGGATAAATGCTACACTGCTCAAAGTTAGGGCTTGTTGGAAAAGTGGTGTAATGAAGTTCTTCACTATTTACAAAATTTTTAATCATATCGGGCAATAAGCCTCATTGTGAAATTGAGTCGGATGTATGATGGAAGCGTTGAAATCATCGATTTAATGGAAAAGAAATAATTATTTTATGTTTGTAAGTACGTTACCGTGGGGAATAGATATTATTTATGAGTGTCAGCATGTCATTCAACTTAGACCCTTTTCAGGCACATTAGCGAATTTGACCCTACAGCTTCACTTATCGTCATCCTAAGTGCTACCGTGTCCTATGGCTATGAGTTTTGTAATGGCATAGAATTACCCCATTTGTCATTGATGTGAATTTCAAACTTTACAATTCAGAAAAATAAGCTGTTAATTGAAAAATTTATAGGTATTTAAACTTATATTCAACACTTCAGTTTAGCAAACGGAAACATTGAATAAGTCAAGCAGATTATCCTGTAAAGGGAGACTTCTACTTCCGAATGATATTCAATATATTGCTGAAATTTTTTGTTTTCTAGAGGGTTTTTGACTTAGAAAGCGGCAAGGACTCATCTGAGTCGAATAGTAAGCAATTTGCATGTATTGCTTTGAGAAAAGTCACGCAAAGATCTTCAATGTGCACTCAGTACTCCTATATTTCTTAAACCACATTTAAGTCTGTTTATTATGCTCTGCCTATAAAAGGACGCTGTCAAGCTCCATAGTCACTAATTTTACTATATTCAACACTTCAGTTTAGCAACGGGAACATTGAATAAGCCAAGCACGTTGTCCTGTAAAAGGAGACTTCTACTTCCGAATGGTATACAAAGTGTTGCTGAATTGTTTTGTAGAGTGTTTTCGCGAAAAGCGGCACGGATTTACCAACAGTCGAATAGTTAGCAATTTGGTCCACATTAAAACATTTAGAAATGCTCTCTTCTTTTTTATCCTGGCGGACGAAACGATTTTTCTTGCAAATGAATTGCTAAAAAAGGCACGCAAAGATCTTTTATGTGCATTTACCCTAAATCTATTGAGTCACAACTAAGTCGGTTTATTATGCTTTGCCTATAAAAAGACGCTATCTAGCTATATAGTCACTAATTTTGATTTCCTTACAACAGATATTAAGAGAAAAGTAGGTATGTGTGATCACTTTGAGGGTCAACTTAGACTTTATTGATAAATAAGCTACTTGGGTTTTCTTCAAAAATATAATTGCATCATGATGGCAGTGTAGATTATTTTCATAGTGAACCCAATATTCGAGCCAACGAAATGCTCGAATAGAGAGAATCAAACAAAAAGTCTTGATAATGCTCTAACCACAATCGAGAAGTTTAGAATTTGTTAACGACTTATACCCTTAAAGTTGTACAGTTCAGTTTCTAATAAAAATTTCAGATCGCCTCATCGACAACCACCGCATTGACTACAATCTCTTCAAACTCTACTTCTGCTGCTACTACTGCTGCACCCATGAGTAGTACGAATACCGCCATTACTCCAACTACTATCGGAGGAGGTGAGGGCAGCTCATTCCTCGGCATTATTTATTTATTTATTTGTTTATTTTGAATAACATCAAGCAAAAGGCATAATTCTGTTGAAGGGGTATAAACAAGCTCGTCGACAATCCAAACCTTGCTGCCTTAAAAATTTAAAGCTGCCCAATGACTGATTTAAGATTACAGCGAGCCTACGAAGGCTAGCCAATGCCTCCAATAAAGCAATGTTTAATTTTTGAATAAAAACGGTTATTATTGAAAAAAAAACTCTTTTATTCATTCAGTTGGATGAAGTTTGATAAAGCTGAACTTTTATTCATAAGCTAGACTCTTATAAGCAATAACTGTTTAGGACAATGTGCTCTACCATTCCCTTGCCTCGTGAGAACTTCTCTTTTCTCTGCTTAAACAAAAATCTTTTCAGTGCCATGCATTGACCGCGTCAATCCTAAAACAGGAAAATCTGATTGTTCGAGCATGGCGCATCTTTGTGGCAACGGAAAATACTACTTAGTCATGCATGAGCAATGTCCACAAACATGTGGACGTTGCGATTCTAATGGAAGAGTCATCCCACCTCCCCCAGTAATACCAGGAGGTAAGCATGAGAGAAAAAGATGGAGAGAAAGAGAGGTAAAAAGTGCTTTAAAAAAAGTGCATAGGGATCGCACCGTTTGCAAATAGCCAGTACATAAGATTTGCTGATCATATTGATCAAACGGGGAATTACCCTTTACAGATTGCGCCGATTTCTCGACAGAAGAATGTCTTCGTCTGGCAACGTACTGTTACAATCCCGTCTACAAAGATCTTATGAAACAACAATGTCGTAAATCCTGTGGATATTGCTACTAAGAATCAACAGCCTCTAAAAGTGGCACAAAATGATATGTATTCATAAGTCACTCGTATTTGTATATATTGATGCTTTACGCAATAAAGGGTTTGGAAAAAGGTAATACATACTATAAACATATTTGACATTGCATCCAGCATCTATTTTCTTCGTTGTTTACAGTACACTTTGAACATTTCGATTTCCGAACTATTCTGCTCACGTAAGTGATGCAAAATTTGGGGACCCTTTCATAGCTCTTGCATAGTAGCTCCGCTAGCAAACCCTTTACTTCTAAATTTTTCGAACCCTGCAGATGTGCCAATGTTGAACTGTTTACTGGAAACCGAGAGTGACTCAACTTTGGACAGCCTATGAAGTTCGCTAGGTGAAGGCGTCCTCGGCCTATCATTTAGCGCGAGCTTACTCAATTTTTTTTGATCTGTCAGAATTCCAGACCTAGGTGCAAATAAGATGATCGCTCCCCTTTCATGCATACAATGACAAACATGGCATGTATCAAGAAATAAATATGTTATTCTGACGAAATCACACGTATGCTTATTCAACCATCTTCTTAATCGAAATGAAATTGCATTTTGGCATCGAGCACTTCTAATGTTAATGGGCTCTAAGTCTGCTAATAATATCAAAAAAATTTGTTGTTAGGTTTAGAGACTAATTATGGGGAGAGTTTGCATCACGAGCTAGACATTATGAATTGAATTTTTTTCAAAGTTAATCTAAGCTCAAGAAAGCCCAATCCATTTGGGTAAAAAGCAAATTTGAGTGCTCATCTCGCTCTGTCACAATCGGTTTAAATGAAAAGAGAAAACAGCTCGGAATATCAATCATGTGTTTGGTATTGGAACTATATAGTAAACGGTGAATCAGGTTTTATGCTTACCAGTTCTTTTCTCCGTTTTCTTTTCCCAAGTTGAGCTTCCTTGTTTACTCAGAAATTCCATCACTG